TCTCTACTATAAATAGGAATAAACTAATTGGCCCAACTAAATATATTGAGAAAAAATAGCGGGCATCGTGCGCATGCCTGTAGTTCCCAAGCTTACTTTGGGGAGGCTGAGGCAGAAGGATCGCTTGAGCGCCAGGAAGTCTGAGGTTGCTGTGATCGAGGCTGATGCCACGGCACTCACTCTAGCCTGGGCAACAAAGGCAAGACTCTGTCTCAAAAAAAAAAAAAAAATACTAACAACAGAATGAAAAGGCAACTCACATAATGGGACAAAATTTTGCAAAATCATATGTTTTGTTAAGGGATTAGTATCTAGGATATATAAGACTCCTAACAACTCAGCAATAAAAAAACCAACTACCCACTTTAAAAATGGGCAAAAGAGTGAAATAGACATTTCTGCAAAGAAGACAGACAGATGGCCAACAAGCACATGGTCACACAAATCTACACAGGTGGTCAAATTGCAGAAAACCAAATACACACAGAGAAAGGAGTGCATATAAGACTGGTGACATCTGAATAAAGTTGATGTCAAATTATATTGATGTCATTTATTGATTGTTGCTATTTTCTATGGTATATACAGGATGTTACTGTTGGGGTAAGGACGTGGAAAGATATACAAGATCCTCTGTAGCCGGGCGCGGTGGCTCACGGCCTGTAATCCTAGGCTTTCTTGGGAGCCGAGCCTCGCGGGCATCCCGTATCTAGTCTTGGACGGCATTGAGTCAGGAGTTCGAAACCAACCTGAGCAAGAGCGAGACCCCGTCTCTACTATAAATAGAAAATTAATTGGCCAACTAATATAATAGAAAAAAATTAGCCGGGCGTGGTGGCGCATGCTGTAGTCCCAGCTACTCGGGAGGCTGAGGCAGGAGGATTGCTTGAGCCCAGGAGTTTGAGGTTGCTGTGAGCGAGGCTGACGCCATGGCACTCACTCTAGCCTGGGCACAAAAGCGAGACTCTGTCCTCAAAAAAAAAAAAAAAAGGAATCTCCCTGATTATTTATTACAACTGCATGTGAATTTGCAATTATCTCCCCTGCTTCCCCTAAAAAAGGCATAATCAATGTAAAAATCCCGAAGAAGCACCAAAGTAGTTCCCGTGCAAGCTAATAATTATAATCATCCTAAATGATTCTTTTGATCTCTCAAAGCATCCTTTTGAGATAAAAAGGTACAATTTTCATCTATCAGTAGGCAAGGGATACAGTATGGTTTTCCCAGAATTTGGACATCATAAGGTTGCCCTATGAGAATTTAAACTTAGTAAAAATAAAACAATTTAGGAAAGTAGCCATTAGCCACTTTAAACGCTTCCAAAACGAAAGGCAGTATATACCGAAAGGTAACAAAGCATTAGCATCTCGGGAAGGTAGACCTTCAATATTAAGATAAGGTTAAGATTGGCCAGGCGTGGTGGCTCAGGTCTGTAATCCTAACACTCTGGGAGGCGGAGGTGGGACGGATGGCTCGAGGGATCAGGACTTCAAACCAGCCTGAGCAGAGTGAGAAAAAAAAAAAAAAAGTCCTAACCTAAACCCCTTTGGCTTTTCTTAAATGTATCTGTGCTTAGACAAGGATAAATGTTTTTATGAAAAGTTTTTCACTGAGTCCTCAACTAGGACTCTGGAATATTTAAACTGACGCTATGCAAGTAACAGTCATCCACGTTAGGTGCTTATGGGGTCTCCGCGTGGGAAGGTAGCAGGAATGGTACTGATTTGAATCATGGTTTCATAAGATACACTGGTTTTTTGTTTTGTTTTTTTTTTACAGTTATACTAAGCTTCTTTTCTATTAATGTCTTGAAAGAGGTAAACTTTTGCCTTAATTTTTTTTTTGAATCTAGGCACAGAAGTATACCTTAAATTTTTAATACGTGTTCGTTTTATTCCAGTGGTGCAGGCATGGATGGGAAGAAATGCAGTGTCTGGATGTTTCTACCACTTGTATTCACTTTGTTTACGACAGCCGGGCTGTGGATAGTGTGAGTATTCTCTTATCTAATTACTTAAGGATGCAGGTGTAAAGTTTTGGCCAGGCGTAGTGGCTCACGCCTGTCATCCTAGCACTCTGGGAGGCCGAGGCGGGAGGATCACTCAAGGTCAGGAGTTCGAGGCCAGCCTGAGCAAGAGCGAGAGACCCCGTCTCTACTATAAATAGAAATAAATTAATTGGCCAACTAAAAATATATAGAAAAAAGTAGCCGGGCATGGCGGCGCATGCCTGTAGTCCCAGCTACTCGGGAGGGAGGCTGAGGCAGGAGGATCGCTTGAGGCCAGGAGTCTGAGGTTGCTGTGAGCGAGGCTGACGCCACGGCACTCACTCGAGTCTGGGCAACAGAGTGAGACTCTGTCTCAAAAAAAAAAAAAACAAAAAAAAGAACTAGGTCATCTATGGGTAAAGAATTGTAGTAAAAGAGCATTTTCCCAGTTAGAAAACAACTGAATATGATTTAGTGCAGTTAGTCTAAGAAAAGTGGGAAACAAATCATTGTTTGTTTTTTTCCAGTTTCTTTGTTTTGTAAAATTTCATTCTTTCTTGATAGATACTTCATAGCTGTGGAAGATGACAAAATCTTACCACTAAATTCACCTGAAAGGTAAAGTTGGTCTCAGAGTAATTTATTACTCCTCCATAGATTTAATAAAAAGCTTTGCCGCTGGCAAGGTTAAGCCGCACCCAATGACCCCGTCAACCTGAGCTTCTCCGTTTTTCTCTGTCCAGGAAGCCTGGGGCGAAGCATGCACCCTATATAAGGTAGCTCGGTGATTTTTCTTTTTTTCTGATCTGCTGGATCTTAGGAAAAGTTGGGAGGGTTACCGGTTTTAATACAGTCATTATAAAACATCTTCACATCCTTGTTTCCAATTATTCGCAGGCTGACGGCCCCACCGCAGCTGTGTGTTTAGTCAAGTCATGAACATGGCGGCCTTCCTAGGTAAGGAAAGCGACAAGGACGCTTTGTGTTCTTAAGCTCGCTGTTAGAACCTCGGGCTCTTCGTTTTATTTTATTTTATTTTTATTTTTATTTATTTATTTTTTGAAGAGATCTCGGCTTTGTTGCCTAGGCTAGAGTGAGTGCCGTGGCGTCAGCCTCGCTCACAGCACGCCTCCACTCCTGGGCTCAAGCGATCCTCTGCTCAGCCTCCCTCCAGAGTAGCTGGGACTACACGGCATGCGCCACCACGCCCGCTCATTTTTTCTATATATATTGAGTTGGCCAATTAATTTTAATTTTATAGTAGAGACGAGGTCTCGCTCTGCTTCAGGCTGTTTCGAACTCCGACCTGCGAGCCATCCGCCGCCTCGACCTCCCAGAGTGCCAGGATGACAGGCGTGAGCCACCACGCCCGGCCGGGCTCTTCGTTTTAATGTTCACTTTTTTGCCAGTAGGGTTTCCAGTGAATTGGAACAAAAATAAACGTGCTAGTGACCTATGTATCTCTTATTACTGGCAGTCAATGAAGCTTCCGAGTATAGCATATGTTAAGATATTCCAGGGGTGGAGAAAAGTAACTTAAAACTTTTCTTGAGTTAGGAGGTATTAAGACCTTCTCTGATGTTAGGATGAAACTCAGTCATCTCGGACATTCCACTAAAAAAGGTTATCTATTGCAAAAAAGAAAGAAAGAAAAAAAAAAGAATGCTTTATGCACTTTGGTACATTCCTTTTTTATTTTAAACTCCCTCAAACTCAAATCAAAACAATGGTGGGCTTACTTGATAATATAGAATCATATCATGTCCACATGCTGAAGCCGGCTTTTTGTTTTCTTATTTATTATCTTGGTTTTTTATTTCGTATGGGTCTTGTTTTCTTATAAATCCTTTGACATTCACCCTGCTTTCCTGACATTTTTTTCTTCCCTTTACCATCTTTATAATTTCAAGCCTACTCTTGACTTTATTTTTTTTGCTTCATGAATGATGTATTTCACATACCATAAACCCTGCATGGAAATGTACTATTTGTGCAACATGTTTGCTTTGAAAGGAATGCCTCATTTCTTCACCTGCGAAGGTGAAAAAATGCATAGACTCTCTGATATATATTGATGTAAATAGATATTATTGTTGAACCTAGAAAGTCAACATTAACGGCAGGGTGATACTCTCTTCTGTGCCTATACACACATCAACTGGCAAATGGAGAAGTGGGCTTTTAAAAAAAAAAAAAATAGAGGCCAGGCACGGTGGCTCATGCCTGTCATCCCAGCACTGTGGGAGGCCGAGGCGGGAGGATCGCTCAAGGTCAGGAGTTCGGGACCAGCCTGAGCAAGAGCGAGACCCCGTCTCTACTATAAATAGAAAGAAATTATTTGGCCAACTAAAAATACATAGAAAAAAAGTTGGCCGGGTGTGGTGGCGCATGCCTGTAGTCCCAGCTACTCGGGAGGAGGCTGAGGCGGAGGATCGCTCTGACGCCAGGAGTTGAGGTGTGCTGTGAGCTAGGCTGACGCCACTGCACTCTAGCCCGGGCAACAGAGTGAACTCTGTCTCAAAAAAAAAAAAAAAAAAATGGGGGGGAGGAGCATTTATTGAAACCTTAAAATTTGTACACCCCATAATATGTAGAAATAAGAAAAAATACTACCCCATTTCATCGCAATACTCAGGAGCCTGGGTATAAAAATGCGGTCGCAAGCTGTCTGGCCTCCACTGGGCTCTCACGAAACCAAGGGAACATTCTGGAAGCCACATGCTGTTCCCTTCATATCCTTAAGACAACTGATAGTCCCGGCCATCTTTAAATGTATAATCTAAAAAAAAAAAAATACCAGTTTGCACGGCTCACATGTCTGTCCGGGTATGAGGCTTCACTAATTCTAAACACATTTCGAGAAACAAAACAATGGAAGCCAGCACCCCTGTCTTGCAGATGACATTTGTCCTCGTCTTCTTCTCCAAGGAACAACTGGGCTTTTCCCAGCCCTAGCTCCGAGGGCTTGCGACACCCAGTGTTTATTCCGCATCCACTTTCATCATTTTTTGGTACCATCTGGTCGACACAAAACTGGTTTGAGACTGTTGTTCAGTGGGAACAAACCCACAGTTATTTATTTATCAACTCTGGGAGTGAAAAAGAATGCTTCTGTCTGCTCAGGTCTGTGAGACTATCACTTTAGACGATATAAGCAACTTGAAGAAATAACCCTAAGTCTCTGCTTTTGGGGCAGCCGCATAGATTACAATTTCCAATCCAAAAATGAGCCTGTGTCACATTTACTGAAATTACTGGGCAAAGGATCCTGTATCATTTTTCAAGAACTAAATCAAAGATTGAATGCTCGATTATTTTCTTTACAGAATTAGTTATGTTCTTTGTCCTGAATCCATACTTTTTTTCCCACCGGAGGGAAGAAAAGACCTAAGACGGGTTTCTTGGAAGGCGGATTATTTTCTGCCCTGGGGAAGATTGTGAGGATAAAGCTAATAGCTGAATGATTTCAGCTGCCTAATAGCAGCCGCTCTCTCTCCTGCAGCCAAAACGTATCGACTGCTGTGTTCTACTGCAGTCATAAACAGGCATTATTGATGTCCATACAGTAAAACCAAACCAAGCAAAAAAGAATTTGGCCAGGCACCAGTTTAGTCCCGCAACGAAGAGATGTTATTTTGGGTTTGGAAGTTTAAAAACCCAATCAGATTCAAAGGTAAAAATTTAAGCTAAAAAGTCAGCAGATATGTTGTTCATGCTTTTTTAAAAAGACACAGGAAAATTAAATAGGCGACCACCTGTAATGGCAAAGGAGTGTTCTAACTAACAAAAACAACAGAAGGGTGGGCTCTGAAAGTCTTTTCTAAAATTAACCGTTAGTGAAATCTAAAATTCTTTTTTTTTTTCCGCTCAAGAAACTGAAATCTAAAAATTTCTTTTTTTTTAAATTTTTAAAAAATTTTAAAAATATCAATTTTATTTTTCCTTTTTTTTTTTTCTTCTGTTCTGGTTCTCGCATTCCAAAAAATTCTTAATGAAACTAAAAAATGTATGTATTGATCAGACGTGAATGTGGCGAAAGTTGGTGAGCAGACATAAAGATCACTTTGAGGCCGGCGCGGTGGCTCACGCCTGTGATCCTAGCACTCTGGGAGGCCGAGGAGGGCGGATTGCTCGAGGTCAGGAGTTGGAAACCAGCCTGAGCAAGAGTGAGACCCCGTCTCTACTATAAAGAAAGAAATTATTGGCTAACTAATTATATATAGAAAATTAGCCGGGCGTGGTGGCGCATGCCTGTAGCCCAGGTACTCGGGAGGCTGAGGCAGGAGGATCGCTTGAGCCCAGGAGTTGGAGGTTGCTGTGAGTGAGGCTGACGCCACGGCACTTATTCTAACCTGGGCAACAAAGTGAGACTGTCTCAAAAAAAAAAAAAAAAGATGACTTTGAAATTGCCCATGGGTCTTTTTCAGGAAGCTAAAATTAAGTCACTACTTGATTGAAAGGGGACTTCATGACACATAGTCTGAATCTGCCTCCCTTTGTACCTCAGTGTTAATCTATATCAGATTCTGAAAATCCTACTAGCATCTGTTTTGAAAAGAACCCATGCCTCGCCTGAGCTGATTCATGATGGAGTTAGTAGGTAAGAAGGGCGAGGCCTGGTGCTAGGAACGCAGTTCTGGAAGTTAGGAGTGTTGGGCTGAATTCCTGTCTTCAAACCGGTCTCTGTCTCCTGCCCACTGTCACCACCTGTTCATGGTGTCATGTCTTTCCCTCCATGCTGCAGACAGGAAGCCTGGCCACGCTGGGACCAGGACACGGTCTGTGTCCCGTGTCTACTGGGTCGCGCAGAGAGTGGCCAGTGACTCTGGCCCTCTGGGCACCGAGGGAAAAACTGACGGGCTGTGTGGACAAGAAGAGCCACTGGGTTTGGGGCTTGCTATGCCAAAGCTCCGGCATGATCCTACCCCACAAAACTAAGTGACCGGCTGGGCGAGTGGCTCACGCCTGTCATCCTAGCACTTTGGGAGGCCGAGGTGGGCGGATTGCTCAAGGTCAGGAGTTCGAAACCAGCCTGAGCGAGACCCCATCTCTACCAAAAATAGAAATTAATTGACCAACAAAAATATTATAACAAAATTAGCCGGGCATGGTGGCGCATGCCTGTAGTCCCAGCTACTCGGGAGGCTGAGGCAGGAGGATCGCTTGAGCCCAGGAGTTGGAGGTTGCTGTGAGCGAGGCTGACGCCACGGCACTCACTCTAGCCTGGGCAACAAAAGTGAGACTCTGTCTCAAAAAAAAAAAAACAAAAACAACTAAGTGACCAGCAGAGACTCTCAGAATAGTAACTTGTCACCAGTCACTGTGAAGAGAACCTACGTGTGCTGTTTTGGCGTTTTGGCCTGACCAGTGGCCATGCACAGTTACTTAGCTCGTGTCCCCTACAGTGCTCTGTGCTGAGTTCTCCCGTCTCAATCTAACGGCTTCTTTATCCGGTGACCACTTTGTGCGACAGTGCAGTGTGCTGAATTTCACTCCTCTCCCTACTTCCTTTTCCTGTTCCCCTCCTGAAAAACAAATTTTTTTTTTGAGACAGAGTCTCGCTTTGTTGCCCAGGCTAGAGTGAGTGCCGTGGCGTCAGCCTCGCTCACAGCAACCTCCAACTCCTGGGCTCAAGCGATCTCTCGCTCCAGCCTCCTCCGAGTAGCTGGGATTACAGGCATGCGCCACCATGCTCGGCTAATTTTTCTATATATATTAGTTGGCCAATTAATTTCTTTCTATTTATAGTAGAGACGGGGTCTCGCTCTTGCTCAGGCTGGTCTCAAACTCCTGACTTCTTCGATCGATCCTCCCACCTCAGCCTCCCAGAGTGCCAGGATGACAGGCATGAGCCACCGCGCCCGGCGTAGGGTGTATGATTTAAACGTTTTGATTTTTAAAGAATTTGCTTTGTTCCTAGCCCTGGTGGTGGCCGTTCTGCGCTTCATACAACTGAAACCAAAGGTCCTAAACCCCTGGCTGAATATCAGTGGACTGGTGGCCTTGTGTCTGGCTTCCTTTGGAATGACCTTACTCGGTAATTTTCAGGTACTTCATTTGGCCTTTTTCCTCTCTCTCTCTCTCTCTCTCTCTTTCTCTCTCTCTCTCGCTGGTCAGACCTTCCCCCGTGTGACCATCAAGGCCATTGACTGACGCATACTCACTCTGTGGCCCATGTAACTCTGCACAGAGCTCTACAGTGAGGAGCGCTGGTCCCTGACATGCACGGCTGTCCTGCGGTCCCTCAGTCTTTGCATCACACAGGGGACAAGGTTCCCTGAGCATCAGAAACATAGCATGACTACTGGGAAAGTAGGTGCTAGAATATATATTTGCTGCAAAGGATTTCAAAGCGGTTTAATACATTTTTTCATAACAAACTGCATCCTAATGTACCTTTCTAGAAAATCAATAGGATCGTTGCCTTTCTACAATTAAACACTGAAAATCCTTACTGGATGAAAGCTTACATTTCAGACCATCAGCAACCTTTCGTGTGGAAGTCAAGTTGGAGAGCCCAGAATTTTCCTGGAACACCTGTGACTTATATAAAAATATATTAATTCGGGCCGGGCGTGGTGGCTCACGCCTGTCATCCTAGCACTCTGGGAGGCCGAGGCGGGAGGATTGCTCAAGGTCAGGAGTTAGAAACCAGCCTGAGCAAGAGTGAGATCCTGTCTCTACTAAAAATAGAAAGAAATCAATTGGCCAACTAAAATATATATAGAAAAATTAGCCGGGCATGGTGGCGCATGCCTGTAGTCCCAGCTACTCAGGAGGCTGAGGCAGGAGGATGGCTTGAGCCCAGGAGTTGGAGGTTGCTGTGAGCGAGGCTGACACCACGGCACTCACTCTAGCCCGGGAAACAGAGTGAGACTCTGTCTTAAAACAAAACAAAAAACAATGAATTGGTCACATTCTATAAGCCAGTTCTTTCTGTAAGAGTAACGAAGAGCCCACAGGGTACTGGTTGTCTGTGGAAATTCAATCTTGACCTGCCTGGAACTGGCCATCCTCAAGTCAGTAAAAACACAGCCAGATCCTCAGTCTCATTTTCCCAGCCTAGAAAACAGAGTTGGGGTATCTGCTTGCAGTAACATTTCCCATTTTTTTTGTGTGTGTTTAATTCTCCTGCTTTTTATTTTTACTTTCCCCACCAAGCTTTGCTGGAAAATAAACACGAGGAACAGATTACCACTGGTGCATGGTTTTTCCCAACAAATGTTTCCACGGTTCGGGGGTACTGTCTGTTTCCCTTCCTCCCCTCAGAGCTTGGACATTTGAAAACAGACTCAAAGAGCCAGTGGAGGTGAAGGACTGTAACGCTGCTGAAAGCCATCCTCCCACTGTCGGGGCCTCTCTCTTCCTGTCTTCACCTCCCCTCACACGTCCCACCATTTCTGAGTGAGCCTCCACACCTCATTATCTGTCCATCCCTTAGCTCACCAACGATGAGGAAATCCATAACGTGGGGACTTCCTTGACCTTCGGGTTCGGCACGTTGACCTGCTGGATCCAGGCTGCGCTGACCCTCAAAGTCAACATCAAGAACGAGGGCCGGAAAGTCGGAATTCCACGAGTCATCCTGGCGGCCTCCATCACTCTCTGTGTGGTCCTCTGTATCCTTTCAATGTGAAAAGGTTCTTTTGCTAGTTGAGAGTCAACAAAGAAGTTGGCTGGGCCAGGTGGCCCACGCCTGTAACCCCTCCCCCACCTGGGGAGGCTGAGATGGAAGGACTGCTTGAGGCCAAGAGTTCGAGACCGGCCTGAGCAACCCATCTCTACAAAAAAAAAATTTTTTTTTTTTTTTAATTAGCCAGTCATGGTGGCATGCCCCTGTAGTCCTAGCTACTCGGGAGGCTGAGGCAGGAGGATTGCTTGAATTGGGAGTATGAGGCTGCACTGAGCTATGATGAATGAGTGACACCACTGCACTCCAGCCCCGGCAATGCAAAGAGATCCTGCCTCAAAAAAAGAAATAAATAAAAATAAGTTGTCTATCAAGGCCGGGGGCGGTGGCTCACGCCTATCATTCTAGCACTCTGGGAGGCCAAGACGGGAGGACCGCTGGAGGTCAGGAGTTCGGAACCAGCCTGAGCAAGACCGAGACCCTGTCTCTACTATAAATAGAAAGAAATTAATTGGCCAACTAAAAAAATATATAGAAAAAATTAGCTGGGCGTGGTGGCGCATGCCTGTAGTCCCAGCTACTCGGGAGGCTGAGGCAGGAGGATCGCTTGAGCCCAGGAATTGGAGGTTGCTGTGAGCGAGGCTGACGCCACGGCACTCACTCTAGCCTAAGCAACAAAGCGAGACTCTGTCTTAAAAAAAAATAAATAAATAAAGACTTAAAATCCAAGCCAAAAACTTTGCCTTCTTGCTGGCAACCTGATAAAATACTTCATGATGAGAAAGATCAAAACTGCCAATATGAGATTTGAGGATTTATGCCTTCCCCATTCACTTAAGTAGTAAGTTCATATTGCTTTGGCAATATTTTGAATCCTCAGTCAAAAGAGTAAGCAAAGACTTTAAATTATTCTGAGTTTTGAGCTTTCACCAAGTGATGCTGATCTATGTTGTTTCTCAACACTTGGAACCGTTTCTTCGTTCCCGGAGGGTGAACGGATCAAGGGCTAATCGGGACAGCAAAGTTTGGCTGATACAGTTTCACACACTCTCGCTCTCTGAAAATGTCCCAAGATTTTAGATCTAAGTTCAGAAGACAGGACTAATGCTAAGCAGACAGTTCTGATTTTTTTCTAAATAAATGTGTTTAGTGCTGAGCCCCTTGGCATGCTGTGGACTTTCCAGTTTTTTCCTCAGGCCCTACCTACATTTATTCTGTTGTGTGTATACACACACACTCCTCTCTCATCTGTTTCTTATTTTTTTTTCTTTTTTTTGAGACAGAGTCTCACTTTGTTGCCCAGGCTGGAGTGAGTGCCGTGGCGTCAGCCTCGCTCACAGCAACCTCCAACTCCTGGGCTCCAGCGATCCTCCTGCCTCAGCCTCCCGAGTAGCTGGGACTACAGGCATGTACCACCATGCCCGGCTAATTTTTTCTATATATATTAGTTGGCCAATTAATTTCTTTCTATTTATAGTAGAGATGGGTCTCCTCTTGCTCAGGCTGGTTTCAACTCCTGACCTCCGAGCAACTCCGCCCGCCTCGGCCTCCCAGAGTGCTAGGATTACAGGCGTGAGCCACCACGCCCGGCCTGTTTCTTATTTTTTATGTTTTATAAATATATAGTTTTTCAGGTAGGGCCTTGGTTTCCTGCCTGGGCTAGAGTGCACTAGCGTCATCACCGTTCACAGCGACCTCCAACTCCTGGGCTCAAGCGATCCTCCCGCCTCAGCCTCCCGAGTAGCTGGGACTACAGTCACGAATCACTATGCCCGGCTCATTCTTCTATTTTTTTTGTAGAAACAGGGTCTCTGCTGTGCTACCCGGGCTGGTCTTGAACTCCTGGCCTCAAGCAGTTCTCCCACCGCAGGCTCCTAAAGTGTTAGGATTGCAGGCGTGAGCCACCATGCCCGGTCTGACCTGTTCCTTTGTTGTTTTATTAATTGCATATTTTCATTTGGGCCCAGGTTTATATTCGATATCAGGAATGAAACCAGGCTGTACAGTATTACAAGAAGGACCACAGTGAAAATTAGAAGAGGGGCCACTCAGACATTAGTAGTAGCACTGCAAATCCACACACAGCTTATGTAGACGTAGTTAGCAATTTGATGTGTTCAAAATTATGTCCCTAGATACCATAACTATGAGTTCACAGTGATTTGCAGTGAGTTTTAAAAAGATAGCTTTATTTTTCTGGCTAACTCATTACTTTGGAGCTGTAATCCTCTTGCTAGTCTCACAGTTTAGCAGGGGTCCTCAAACTTTGTAAACAGGGGGCAGTCCACTGTCCCTCAGACCGTTGGAGAGTGCGCACTGTGGGCCCGGGACAAGCCGGCTGCTAAGCAGGACAGGCAGCGGCGGCAGAAACACCCAGCGGGCCGGATAAATGTCCTCGCAGGCCGCAGTTTGAGGACGCCTGGTTTACAGGCAGCCGTGGAGCATAATAGTTGAGCCCGTGGCCTGGGATCAGACGCTGGTTTGAATCCCAGCCCCACCAATTCATATCTGTATAACCTCAGGCAAGTTACCCATTTGGCCTCAGTTTCCCTATTTTTAAATGAACTGATGATAACAGGATTAGGTTTTTTTTGAGACAGAGTCTCACTCTGTTGCTCAGGCTAGAGTGAGTGCCGTGGCGTCAGCCTAGCTCACAGCAACCTCCAACTCCTGGGCTCAGGCGATCCTCCTGCCTCAGCCTCCTCCCAAGTAGCTGGGACTATAGGCATGCGCCACCACGCCCGGCTAATCTTTTCTATGTATTTTTAGTTGTCCAGATAATTTCTTTCTATTTTTTTTTAGTAGAGACAGGGGTCTCGCTCTTGCTCAGGCTGGTCTCGAACTCCTGACCTCAAGCAATCTGTCCACCCCGGCCTCCCAGAGTGCTAGGATGACAGGCTCGAGCCACCGCGCCCGGCTAATTTGTTCTATATATTTTTAGTTGGCCAATTAATTTCTTTCTATTTATAGTAGAGCCGGGGTCTCGCTCTTGCTCAGGCTGGTCTGGAACTCCTGACCTCGAGCGACCCTCCCGCCTTGGCCTCCGGATTACTTTCAACGTGGCCACTGAGGGCCTCCTTCCTTGACGGCGTGTCCCCAGACTTCATCCTGATGGCTCAGGGCGTGCACATGTACGCGGCCCGCGTGCAGTGGGGCCTGGTCATGTGCTTCCTGTCCTACTTCGGCACGCTGGCCGTGGAGTTCCGCCACTACCGCTACGAGATTGTGTGCTCCGAGCACCAGGAGAACTTCCTGAGCTTCTCCGAGAGCCTGTCGGAAGCCTCCGAGTATCAGACCGACCAGGTGTGACCCGCCAGCTCGTCCCTGTGCCGGGGCAGGGCGGGCGTGCGGGCTGGGGACGGGCAGGAGGACAGAGTCACGGGGCTCCCCACGTGACCTCGAGACACATTCTTTTTTTAACACGCACGTTCACGGCCACATCTGCCACACGAGCTTTTCCGGGGCGGGTCGTTTCTTCAGCGGGAAAGCACGAGCCCTCGCGCACCGAAGACACACGCCTGTCACCCGGACACACGTTGTCACTGCACGGCAGATGCACGGTCACTGGTGCACGGTCACCTGTCTTCCCTCTCCCTCTGCTCTTCTCACTCCCGTCGTGTCCCAGACGCGGTGACATCGCCCGGCCAGCGGTGGGAGGACGCCCAGCCCCCAGGTGGCCTCCGGTCCCCAGGGCTTGAAGGAACCAGCCGGTGACGAACGTCCGAACCCGGCACTGGTGTTCGGGGAAGGGTGGCAGCGTGACGCCCAGCGGGACAGAGGCCGAGCGCCGTGACCCTGTGTGGCCCGTGCCAAGGCGTGCACCCCCGTGACACCTCCCGAGACAGCCCCCTTGGTGGCCGACCGGCCAGCCGTGTGGCTCCTGTAAAAGGACACCACAGCACGCGTCGCGCTGGAAGCGCGCACCCGCCGCGCCCGACCATTGGGCAGAGCCGTGGCGTTCGACCCATACACGGCGTGCGGACATCGCAGGGCCATCCAATGCAGTTCCGGCGGACAAGATGGGGACGGCCAGGGTGTGGCTCCCATCCTGCCTCCTGGCAGAGCCACCCCAGCTTGTTTCACTATTCATGTTTACCTTTTCTTATCTTTTTTTTTTTTGAGACAGAGTCCACCGTCTGTCGCCAGCTAGAGTGATGCGTGGGTCACCACCCCCCGCTCAACAACTCCAGTCCTGGCTCAAGCGACTCTCTGCTCGAGCCTCTCCCGACGAGCCTGGACTCACAGGATGCGCCACGACGCCCACGGACCCCGCTAATTTTTTTTCTATAATATTTTAGTTCCATAATTCTTTCTATTTTAGCAGAACGGGTCTCGCCTCTTGCTCAGGCGTCCCAAAAATCCTGACCGCTGACGTATCCTCCGCCTCCTCCAGAGCTGCCTGGATTACCAGCAATTTTTTTTTCTAGAATACTGTACCGCACGATCCTCTCCTGGGCCTCATGGGCAACCACACAGACGCACACACCCGAATGCGGGCCGACCCCGCTTTTGGTTCACGCCAGGATCGCGCGGGCGGCGGGTGCGAGGGACGTCACCTGCAGCTCACTTTCCGCTCTCCTTGTTGAGGTAAGAATACAGAGTCACCAGAAAAGTGCAAGAATATCACGTGTGCAGCACACACAGCACGCTGCCACACCCCTGGGTTGTGAACACGGAGAGTTTAGAAGCCTCTTGTTGAAAGTTCAACTCAAGGGAGACTTTCGAAATTTCTATTGCCCAGCACTTAGGTTTCTTTCTTTTTTTTTTTTTTGAGCAGAGATCTCACTCTGTCACCTTCTGGCTAATCGATGCCTGGCGTCAGCCGTCGCTCACCAGCAACCCTCAGACTCTGCCTCAACGCGATCCTCCTGCCTCAGCTTCCTGATAGTGGGATACAGCATCCCACCCACGCGGCGCTCATCTTTTTTCTTCATATATCTGCTTCCATTGGCCCGCTTGACAACCCGTTTACTTTTAGTACATCAACACGGTCCCCTCTTGTTCAGGCTGGTCCAAACTCCTGGCTCCCATCGGATACACTCTCCGCCTCGGCTCCAGATCTAGGATGACAGCTGACCACGTGCCCAGTGCCTTTCTTTTTGTTTGATTAAGTGTTTTTCAGATTTGGAACCTGTAGAATACCCTTCCCCAAAACCAAATTGATAAGTGGTCCCCACGCCCACCCGTACAGTATCCCACCTGCCGAAGAGTTCGAACCGAACCCCGGCACGGTGCGGCTTTTGGAGCCGTGCTCCGTGACAAAGAGAATTCCAAATTCAAAACCTGTCGGACTGAGCCAAGTTGACAAGACCCTCCACCGATCGCCACTTTGTCGACAAAAGCCCAGAGCTTACTTCAATGGAGGCTGGGATTCATGGACATACATGGACAAACATTATTTAATCAACCCAAGCTCTGAGCCCTTTTTTGAGACAGAGCTCACCTGTCGCCCCGGCTATAGTGAGTGCTGTGCCGTCAGCCTCGCTCACACAACCCGCCAACTCCCTGGCCTCAAGCGATCCTCCTGCTCAGCCTCCTCCCGAGTACGCAGCATGTCCCACCACGCCGCTCATTGTTTCTACAGTAATATGGTCTTTCTTAGTGGCCAATTCATTTCTTGTTTCTATTCATCATAAGCCAGATTCCTCTTGCTCAGGCCTGGGTTAACTCCCAGGGGGAGGGGGGGGTGACCTTGACGACTCCTCCCCCTCGGCCTCCAGCAGGCTGGATGACCCGGCGTGAGCACCGCCCCCGCCGAAGTGTACTTCTTTAGAGAGTCAATGTCTTTCATCTCTTGTTCCCCAGCTCACCCTTGGCACAGGCCTGCTGCTCATACATGCTCTGGCTGAACAGCAATGCTTTGATATCGCAAAGCATGACAGCGAGAGTGCGACACCTGCAGAGCACTGAGTGAACAATTGACGGCGTTTCCTGGGAGACGGGACTTGAGAAATCATGGCCAGCCGAGCCCACACCGGGGAGTGGAGCACCGCGAAGTTATAAAGTCGAGGAAAGACAAGCTGAGGACACTGCTCTTTACACAAGGCATCTTATTGTAAATAGGGCAACGTGACAGTCGAGTCTGAATACTGCTTTTCATTCTGTTTTCATTTGTTATATTTGAAATTTATGAAAGACATGAAATTATGATGCTTCCTTTACTTGCACAATCCAAATGAGACCCGCTTTCTGGTGATGCAACGTACACTTCTAAACCCTAATAGCACAGTTACCCGACGTCAGGCAGCGGCCTGACCTGCCACTGGAGTGACCACTCAAATAAAATTCTTTTATGCAAACTTGATCGTCCTCCTCCTTGCACCCTCATTTCTCCCTAATACCGACAACTCACGATTGAACCTAAATTCATGTCATATACCGGACATGGTTTTAGACACCCGACGGCCCCTCCTGATTCTCTGGACGCCGTGGGGTGGCTCAGTCAGTCTGGACTCCCTGCCCAGAGTGATGCAACCACAAGTTAGACGTCAGTCACCGAGACTGCCCTCACCTTCAACCCCAGGCTAAGTGCTGGGGATCACGGGTTCCCGTCACTCTGTCCAACTCGGCCGGCCTTACCCGCCCTCTGGGTGTGTTGCACGCGCGTCTTAGCAGCGACGTCCGGCCCACAGTGCGTACTGCTCCAAGTCTGAGGGACAGTGACCTGGCCCCCTTTTAACAATTGAGGACCCCTGGCTAAAGGTCAACCACTGTGGCTCTTCTCCTACGCCCCATCCTGAGACTATGTACCCCCACACCCTGAACAAAAGAGTGATTTTTATACTGAAAAAAACTGCTGCTCAACTTCAAGTTGTGCCAGGAACGGCGACAAGACCAAAAAGTCCATGTGCCAACGCTCTTTGGCAATGAGGACCAACATCATATGAACATCCTAGTCCCAAAGAACTGAACTGCCATTCCTCTAACGCCCGTCTCTCTGTTTAATGACAAGTAACGCTGTGTTACAACCTCTCTGCAGACCGTCAGGGCTGACACGCTGTACAGTTTGCAGGTAGAGCATAGTGCCACACCCATGATACGACTGAACCGTGAAGTACCGTTCCCGGAATTAACCAGCAGATCCTAACGCACGTGCCCCATCACAACCCTACCCGAAAATCCAGCCCTAGTGGTGGCGTGCTATGAACAACAGCCTGGTGATGCGCGGCTATGCAAAATCAGCCCTGTGACGGGGTGCGATGCAAATCATCAGCCCTAGTCCGATGGGCGTGGTATGCAAGTCAGCCCTAAGTGATGTGTGCTATTGAAAATAGCCCTATACACCGGCGCTCGCAGCGCACCTGCCACAACCATGGCTGCGACCGTCGAGCGGAAAGAACAGAGCAGCCCCTCTCATCCCGCCCCGGGAAGCCTGAGCTGCTCGACAGACGATCGGGCGTGTCTAAAGCGAAACGAGAGTCCAGACATCCAGGACTGGGGATTTCGGGCCGAGAGTGCAGATGATGTCAGAGACCCTTCACTCGATTCTGAATCTGGTATACCGTTTACGTACTAAAATAAATACACATGCCCCTCTGAAAATCAGCCCCTACGTGTCCTTCTTGAGCGAAAATAAATAGGAACCCTGTCTTATTTTCGGGAACATGGCAACCTGGTGACATTTCCCAGAACAAAATGGCACTGCTGCATTCTCAGAACCTACCTGTCGTGAAATGGCACATGATGTGTTTTTGTACTCACACCCATCGTACAGATCGTGTTAACCTCTACAGGAGTAAGACCCCAAGCAAAACCACATAAACGGCCAAGACAGGAACCTGCCTCTTAATGAGATCTGGAAAGTCAACAAAGATGGCACGGAGAACAAATATGGACGATACACTAACCGCGTTTCTGGTTGGTCACAACTAAGTTACGTGAAGAAGAAAACATCCCCCCATCAGTGAGGGAACCAAGTTACATTTTAAAAGTCTAGTGGGGCGCGCAGCTCACCGCCTTCACCTAGCACGTCTGCAGGCGCGAGAGCGGATCCTTGAAGTCGGAGTTTCGAGGACCAGCCTGAGCAAGAGCGCAAACCCCCGTTCTCTCTAAAAAATTAGAAAGCAAATTATTGGCCAACTAAAAATAATAGGACAAAAAATGAGCCGTGTGTGCGCATCGCCTGTATTCCACTACTGGAGGCTTGAGGCAGGAGATTGCTTGAGCCCAGGAGTCTGGAGGTTGCTGTGAGCAGACGGACGCACGGCACTCATCTAAGTGGGCACAAGAGTGAGACTCTGCCTCAAAAAAAAAAAAAAAAGAAGAAGGAAGAAAGTTGAGTAAATTGAAAAGCAGTGAATTTTACGGTCGCTAGTATACTCCAGTTGTCAGTAAAAACTATAATATCCTAAAATCAGTTCAGGATGATATCATTTTCCACCTGGGCACAGGTAAGATTACCTGTTGTGCACAACGTCACTGTACGTCTGATGGAATGAAAAAAAAAATCTGAAGACAACGCCTTGTTATAACACGTCACTAGAGGCAAAACAAGTGGCTATCAAATCACCTTTTTTTTTGTTTAAATGCGACTTTGGGGAAAACAGACACAAGGAATATGCTGGGAGAATTCATTCGGACTGCCACGTTTCCAAGCTGCTCCGATGCAGCTCTACGCTACGGGCTGGCATGGCAACGAACGAGTTACCTTTTTCCTCTCTTCATGCGCCTCTTAGCCTCAGTCGCTGCGCCTCACGCTCCAGCTGAGGAAAACAGCGCCACCTGCTGGGCTCAGGCTGCCGTGCATCTGTTGGCAACGCGGCTCCACCTTCTCCCTGCGAGCCTAAAGCCAAGTGGTGTGGCTTACTACACAAGCCACCCTACCACAGTGCCAAAGGTCAACCCGCCTACTCCGAGAGCGCGATCAAAGCACAGAACCCTCTCTGTCGGATGACATCTAAAAATCCAACCTGGGCCGGCGCTCTGGAGCCGCAGGCGGACGGATCGTCCAAGGTCAGGAGTGAGACCAGCAGAGCCGAGACCGCGTTCTACTATAAAAAAGAAATTAATGCCAACTAATATCTAAAAGAATTACCACGGCATCAATCTAGCCGGAAAAAAGAATAGATGTCCCAAAATAATCCAACCTGGGTTTCTACCCAAAATGGAACCAGTGCCACCTTGGTGTGGAAAGAGAACTGAGTACACGGTGATTGAATATATAACAGGAAATACAACAAGAGCCCCAACCTTTAGCAGCCTTAACCCCTGCTATTCTCTCGCAAGCAAACCGATAAAACTGGCTGGACGGGGTGGCTCATGCGTGTAATCCTAGCTCTCTGGGAGGCTGAGGGAAGAAGATGGCTCAAGGTCAGGAGTTCAAAACCAGCCTGAGCAAAAGTGAGAGACCCCATGTTTACTAAAAAATAGAAATAAATTAATTGGCCAGCTAAAAATATATAGAAAAAATGAGCCGGGCATGGTGGCACATGCCTATAGTCCCAGCTACTCGGGAGGCTGAGGTAGGAGGATCGGTCAAGTCCAGGAGTTGGAGGTTGCTGTGAGCGAGGCTGATGCCACGGGGCACTCACTCTAGCCTGGGCAACAGTCAGTCTGTCTCAAAAAAAAAAAGCCTGATAAAACTGAGTGCTTTTATCCCCTTTCTGGAAGTTCCAGAGGTTTTTTCCTCCTCTTCCATCTGGCTTCATTCGCCTCCCACCTCACTGCCCACTCCCTTTTCTTAAATTTTTTTCTGAGTGACACGTGACTACATATTTATGGGGCACAACGTGATGTTCCAATACATGCATATGCCGTGTAGCGATCACTACCCAGTTTCTAGGGTATTTTCCCTCCCTCGTAGCCAATCCACTTTATCTTCCACGTTCTTCCGGGGACCCTTCTCCATCGTTTTTAATCGTTAATGGATTTGTGTATCAGGATCTAAGAAATATTCCACTCACCATGTGTTTCCCTCCCTGTCGTACCCACTTTCACAAACGGGATCTGATATTTCAACTTTCTCTTAATTCCTCAATCTGGGTATTTTCTGTCCTCATTCTTCAGTGTGAACTACACACTTTTCCTGACACGCTTTTGACCATGGACACCAAATGCCACTCCTGCCTCAGTTCTCTGTGGGCTACACACCGGGCACTTTCTTCTCCTTATATTCCTTTCCAATCTAGATCCCAGTATACGATTTTCTGTCATTTCTTCCTTACTTTTCCAATTACTCCTTTATTGTCATTGAGACCCCCTTTTCTGCCATCTGCCCATGAGCTTTTCCAAAATATCTAGGAAGTTCATCTTTTTATTACCATTTGTGGTCTTGCCATCATTTACAAATTATTCCCACTTCTAAGATTCACTTACATTCACTTCCTTTTTTTTTAACTTATATACTTTCATGGTCATTAGATTTCTTAATTAGCTACTAAGAAGATCAAAATTATCAATAAAAAATATATCCCCATCTTCTCATATTTGCAAGACTTCCTCTTCCTTATTCAAAGCATTCCTCGAATTACACCTCCAGGATTAGTTTTGCTTGATTAAGAGAATAACTGCCTCTTTCAAGCATTACCTTAAATACCTCAAATATTAAGATTCCCAAATATCAAAGAAACCCCACTCATATCCTGAATGCTTTCTGTCCAGATCAAATAGTCACCTTACACAGATACATAACTCGATTTCCACTGCACTCCATTAAAACACACACTCACTACATACGTGATTAAGGCAAAAACTAAAATAACATTCTTATTGTTTTCAGCCTCTCGTTCCTCAGTCTCAGTTCCTCTTTTGCTATGGCAGTATGTGGCGTAGTTCAGGAGCTTATATAAAACTGCGTGGAGAAGAAAATGCTTTTATTAATCACAGCGTGAAATTGGCATGACATTGTATTAGAACTCAATCAGAATAATGCTGTTATAAAATTTACATTTCTCACATCCAGGTCAAAGGAAAATATTACATATTAGGGCTCTTCTTGTTCTTATCAACTGATTTCAGTAAAATCTTTTTTTTATTAATAGTAAATGGCAATGAACATATACTCTCAAACTGTGCTAAGAAGTAGTTAGAAAGGCAACTAGAACGTCTATACTGATAACCAGCAGAATTAGGACTGTTTTTTGTCCTGCTGCCTGAGCCACGGAACCCGGCCGGCCAGGACTGCTTTGTTACACATTAAGAACACACCTCTATTTTATATTTTAGCCAGTTACACGGGTGTGCCTTTTCCCCTGGTAGGCAGCTGCTTGCTGCGAGTGCCACAATAATTATCCAGTTTCTTCTTGAGTAACAGATACTTGATTGATCAAGACTCAAGGCAGCAATCTTTCCTGATTTTGCTCTGTTCTGAAGCAGAAAAAAAAAAACCTTTTGCCTTGCAATATACGGGGAGACAAATACGAAAGGGAGCTGCTGTGATTTCTAACTTACAATTAGACAGGGGCTAAATCAGACTTACTTCTAATTACTATTAGGAATAAGTCTTTGCAACAATTTCAGTTCTTAAAACAAGGCTTCTGAATACTTTCTCAAAACTACCTTTCCATTTCGGTACAGGACTTGATCAACATAACACATAAGATTTAAAGAAACAAGCCTTTGCAACAATTTCAGTTCTTAAAACAAGGCTTCTGAATAACTTCTCAAAACTACCTTTCCATTTCGGCGCGTGACTTGATCAACGTGACACATTAAGATCTGTGCTTTAGCAATTTCTTCTATCAGCGACACTCCGTCCTCCTGAAGGGTTAGGGTACTGCTGCAAACAATTCCTACGTAATAAAGCATCTTTAAACAAGTTCTGTTTCCACTGAAGGGAGACTTGCTCCTCACTCACGCGGCAGTCACGGTGAGCACACACACGTGCAGGCTTGGACACGTGTGTGCACGCACACGGATTTCTTAAGCAGGTCGCTCTCCCCGTCAGGGTAAAACCAGACGCCCGGGGCGAGTCCGCGAGGCGCACCCCCTAGGCCGAGGAGGGCAGGCTCAGGTCGCTGAAGGACGTGATGAGGCTGTAGTACGTCTTCTCGTCGTCCGTCAGCCCCGCGTTGCCCGGCCTCACCACCACGGCCACGTGCACGCCGGCCGCCTCCGCCGCGCTGGCCTCTGCGGGAACCAGACCGCGTTCACAAACGTGCCGGGAGGTGGAGCGTCTGGATGGCACGGCAGGTGTACCAGACGGGAGGACGTGAGAATGCGAAGGAAAGAATCTGCGCCCTGACACTGCCGTCACGTGTTGCAAGGGCTACAGCTTGGGCCACCCACGCTGGGGTGATTCTCCATTATTCACTTGTCATGTGATGTACCTCACCGTATATATGATGTCTTGCCCCTGTTTCGGGGTAATAACTTTTTTTTTTTTGAGACAGAGTCTCGCTTTGTCGCCAGGCTAGAGTGCCGTGGCGTCAGCCTCGCTCACAGCAACCTCCAACTCCTGGGCTCAAGCGATCCTCCTGCCTCAGCCTCCTCCCGAGTAGCTGGGACTACAGGCATGCGCCACCACGCCCGGCTCATTGTTTCTATATATGTTTTTAGTTGGCCAATTCATTTCTTTTCTATTTATAGTAGAGACGGGGTCTCGCTCTTGCTCAGGCTGGTTTTTAACTCCTGACCTTGAGTGATCCTCCCCCCTCGGCCTCCCAGAGTGCTGGGATGACAGGCGTGAGCCACCGCGCCCGGCCTGAAGTGTGACCTTCTTTAGGGAGAGGTCAATGTATTTTCATCTCTGTGTCCAGCCCCACCTCTTGGCACAGGGCCTGCTGCTCAGTACATGTCTGCTGAACAGCATGCTTTATAATGCAAGAGCAGGACAGAGGAGTGCGACACTCAGAGATGAGTGACACAGATTGGAAGGTGGCGGTTTCCTGGGAGACGGGACTGAAGAAATCATGGCCAGGGCCCACACCGGGGAGTGGGAGCACCCGGAAGTTATAAATGTGAGGAAAAGGATCAAGCTGAGGGCACTGTCCTGTTACAAAGGCATCTTATTGTAAATAGTGTAAGGTGACATCGATTAGTTTTGAATACTGCTTTTTCAGTTTCTGTTTTTCATTTTTATATTTGAAAAATTTTATGAAAGAATGAAGATTTATGATGCTTCCTTTTACTCTGCACAATCCAAACGAGATCGCTTTTGGTGATGCAATCGTACACTTTCTTAAACCTAACAGCACACGTTAGCCGAGTCAGGCAGCGACTGACGCTGCTCACTGGGATGTGACCACTAAATAAATTCTTTTATGCAAAACTGTGATCTCCTCCTCTCTTGCACCCTCATTTCCTCTCTAATACCGGACATCACGTTGAACGTGAACTTCAGTGTCATACACCGGGAGCATGTTTTCCGACACCGACGGCCAACTCTCTGATTCTCTGGACGCCGCCTGGGTGGCTGCAGGTCAGTCCTGGCACTCACTGCCCAGAGTGAGTGTCACACCCCACAGGTTTAAGGACTCAGTCCGACCAGACTGCCCTCACCTTCAGATGCCAGGCCCAAGTGCTGGGTCCACGGGTTCCCGTCACTCTGTCCAACTCGGCTGCGAGTTATCCGGCCCTCTGGGTGTGTTCGTCACCGCTGCCTGTCCTGCTTAGCAGACGACTCATCCCGGGCCCGCAGTGCGCACTCTCCAACGGTCTGAGGGACAGTGACCTGGCCCCCTGTTTAACAAGTTTGAGGAGCCCTGGTCTAGAGGTCTAACCACCTGGTGGTCTTTCTCCTGACAGCCCCATCCTGAGACTATGTACCCCCTACACCCCTGAAAAAAGAGGCTGATTTTATATGACAAAAGACAAACCTGCTGCTCAATTTCAAGGTTGGTGCCAGGAACTGGGGACAAAGACCAAACACAGTCATGTGCCTAACGACATTTTGGCCAATGAGGGACCACATATATGACAGTGGTCCCATAAGACTGTAATGCCGTATTTCTACGGTCCCTCCTCTCTGTTTAGATGTACAAGTAACGCTGTGTTACAACCGCTTGCAGCCGTCAGGGCTGACACGCTGTACAGGTTTGCAGTGTAGGAGCAACAGGCTGCTACACCATGTAGACTAGCGGTTTAGTGTATCTCATACTTTGTTCTCCGGGCCATCTTTGTTAGATCCTCCAGAGATGCTCATTTCAAAGGCAGGTTTCCTGGTCTTGGCCGTTTATGTGTTTGCTTAGGGTCTTACCTCCTAGGAGGTTACACGATCTGTACATGGGTGTAGTACAAAAACACATCATGTGCCATTTCACGACAGGGATAGGTTCTGAGAAATGCACCAGTGGGCCATTTTGTTACTGGGCAAATGTCACAGAGTTGCCATGCTTCCCCGAAAATAAGACAGGGTCTTCTATTTATTTTTCCTCAAGAAGACACCCTAGGGCTGATTTTCAGGGGATGTGTTATTATTTTTTTTAAGTACGGTACAACAGTCTACACTGATTCAAATACAGTGAAGTCGTCTTCTTCTGGAACATCATCCTCACTCTCCAGACCCCGAATCCCATCCTGAATGTCTTGCGACTCTGTTTCCTTTAGAGCCACCGGCCCCGATCTCTCCTGTCGAGCACTAGAGCTCTCACGGGGCGGATGAGAAGGGCTGCTCGTGTTCTTTCCCGCTCCGCGACGACATGCGATGGGTTGTGCAGATGCGCTGCGACCACGCCGTCACTAGGGCTGATTTTCATAGCACGCCCACCCCAGGGCTGATTTTTCATAGCCACGCCCATCACTAGGGCTGATTTTCATAGCCACGCCCATCACTAGGGCTGATTTTCATAGCCTCGCCCATCACCAGGGCTGATTTTCATAGCCATGCCCATCACTAGGGCTGATTTTCATAGCCACGCCCACCACCAGGGCTGATTTTCATAGCCTTGCCCATCACTAGGGCTGATTTTCATATCCCCGCCCATCACCAGGGCTGATTTTCATATCCCCGCCCATCACCAGGGCTGATTTTTGTAGCCACGCCCACCACTAGGGCTGATTTTCATAGCCACGCCCATCACTAGGGCTGATTTTTGGGATAGGACTTCTATGGTGCATGTGCTTAGACATCCTGCTGGGGCTTATTTTCCGGAAGACACGTACTTTACACC